AGTACTTATTGTGAAATTAATGTGTTATTTCATCCAATATTTTCAGTCATTGTCATGTTTATATGCCTATTTAGGTACATGCTGTTTTTACTATTTGATTTCTTAGTTTATCCACCAATATCCTAGTTACTCTCTCTCTCTCTCTCTCTCTCTCTCTCTCTCTCTCTCTCTCTCTCTCTGTGTTTGTGTGTGTTTAAGACCAATTGAAGTTGGAATAACTCTTACATCATGTGATCGTCGCTATTTTTTTATTTTGTGGACTGATCAAAAAAATTTAGGGCACACTGTGCTCTGGTCTTCTGTCATGGTGTTTTCTGCTTGTAACCTACACAGATGCAAATGTGCATGTATTTGAGTTTTGTGTCCAGAGCTGGACTTCTACTTTTCAAGTTGTACCTGTAATCTAGATTATACCTTAACTTCTATTGTTGATGTTATAACTCACGTCGACATAACTCGAGTTACATGCTTTTTTACCAATTTAGAAGTAGGTATTTATGTGATTAATCTTTGACTGCATTCACTATTACACACGCCAATATTTAAACTAGTGACATCATTTACTTGCAAAAGAAACATGCTTGTTCTGAATAGATGAGATATCTATGTGTAATTTCACTTAGTCCTTTTAGGACCTTAATGGATATCTCTTGATGTTTGTGGTGTTCAGTGTATGCTTACAGATTGTTATATGAATATCTCTTGATGTTTGTGTGGTTTTCAGGCTTCATATTTATTTTCCATGTGCAGATATGTGATTTCATTTCTTAAGGACCATGGGAAAGAGGTATATGTTGATGTTAGAGCTGCTTATATTGATACCATGAATAAGGTGAGATGCTTTACATTTTGCAAGAATTCACAGATGTGGACTAATTCTTGATGTGTTCATGTTGACTGCATCATGCCCAGCATTCATCAGTTTCTTTAAGTTTCCACTACAACAGCTTGTGAGAAAACTGAGGACTTGCTTCTTATCTTGTTATATGGTTTCTATGAAATTGATAACTATCAGGATTCTCATCCTCAGGTCTGGGTTTCCATCTGTTAATCAAAGTATCTATGAACAACAGTTGATGGGCTTGTACTTTTTGGGGAAAATCAGTTGATGTTGCCTTAGGTGTTTGTGTCTTCATTTCTCTAATCTTGGTTTTAAGCTCTGCTGCAATTTTCAAGTGTCATTGGTTAGAAAGATGGACCTCTAGATAGTCTGTTACATCTGTTGAATGGTGGTTGCAGCTGCTTATATGAATTTTTTTTGAAGAATACGGATCCACCCTGAAAAATTATATACTTGGTCATATAAGGCACTCAGATGAATGGTAGCTTTTATTATCTCAACTGGATATATGCACCATACACAATTAAGCTGGTTATCTGATGTTTTCTTTGGCTTATATCGAGCATCATCTTTCTTATGTCACTGAATGAGGCCACGATTGTGTCTTTCTTCCCTTGATGCTATCCTTTCTAAGGTGTCTGTGGCTTGCCTTACACTTTACTAGTCAATCGAGAGACCTCTTTCTGAAGGAACTTAACCTTATTCATCCGGTTGCCATTTTTGTTTTGCAGGTTTTAAGTACAAAAATACGA